GGACTGTTCCGTCAGTTGTCAGTGCTAATGCGAAACACCAAGAAAAAACTCAAATAAATGACTTAGCCGTAATAGACTGATGTGTAGATACTGTATGATAAAATTTAACTGACTTAGTGATTGTGACAAACAGTAATAAGTGAAGTGACAAACTAACAAAAATTGAGATCCTAACTTGTACAAACTCTCTAACATATAAAGATGCAGATTTTTCATTGCCTGACTTCTAGTTACCCTTGGACTATTAGATTAAGGTTAACCCAGTTCGAGTGAGCACAGATCGTCTGTACTAGGTAAGTGTCTGGAACAGTGACAATCAACTACTTGACTGACATTGGACTGAATATTTGGTTTGAGATGATGCATGCATTCTTGAGTTATGTTATTAGAGGGGTCTTCCAACAAAATTAATACTGTACAGTTCTCAGTACAGTACCGTACAGGTTTACTCGATAGAGGATTTATTGTTTTTAATAGCGACATGATCAAATTTATAATTCTGAGTTTTAGAGGTATGAAGCTGACAAAATGTGGTTCCTATACTTTAAAATTTTTTTTAATTTTCTACGTATTTGAAATGTTTATTATGAAATTAATGATTTACTTTAATATTCATGAGCTCTCCAGCTACTAGGTAATGTGTTTTTTCCTGTTTTATCTAGAGGACTATGTAAGAGACAGAATAATGTACAGTCAGTCAAAAGTAATCATCCACTCCACTACCTAACCCCTGTACCTGGCTGGGTCCTTTCTGCATGGTAAGTCTTGTGGGGTGGAAAGAGGAAATGGTTGACTTTGAGGAGGGCCATTTGTTGAGGGTGGAGGGGTATGGGAGGGTGGTATGCAATGCAAGTTCCTCATCACAGAGGAAGGGGATTGAAGAAAGCAGGGAAATCCTTGAAAGAAGGAAGGGAAGGATGGATGCTTTTTTCTTTTTCTTCTTTTTCACTTTATTATCTTAGTTTACATACTTGAATGAGTAATAGATGAGACCCTTATTTAATGATTATTATTATAATGTGTCATCCATTTCCTTATTTATAATTTTTTCTGGTTGTTGTTCAGGTTCAAACAACAGTAATTAGATATTTATTATAATATTCATACGAGGAGAAATATTGTTTACGAGGGTGGAAGTCACAATTATTTTTAAATACAAGTGGCCAAATGTCATTGCTACTACCACCTCATCACCTCACATTGATTTTCACCACTATAATAAATATATTACAGAGTGGACAAGTCGCATTCTATCCTACAATTCATTCTTAATTTTTTTAACTTTATAGTGATTTTTTTCAAGAATGCTAGTGGTGAGAAGTGAAATTGATAAGTTATCATGTAACAGCCTAGTTTAGTATTACTGGTGGTGAACAAGCCATGCCCCCTCCTGTCTTATGTTGTCATATCAGGGGGCTTTCCTAATGACACATTACCTGCCAAAATCTCACTTGCATTCCTCCTCAGAATTTCAAGTAAAGGCATAGATGTCTAAGGGTAAGTCCATATGACCCCACCTCTTCACCCGCTATCCTGTTAGTTGGTTGTTTGGGCTTTAGGCCTATCATCTGCTAGGGTTATTAAGGCCATCAACGTCAAGCTACATCCACCAACCTTAACACCTATGTATGTGGCCCTTAACTTGTGCCCTCCTACCTTCCCCAGGTGTGCCACCCCTAGCTCTCCCCCATTAGTACCTCTCCCACCCTCTTGTGACCTGTCGTGTAGAAAGGCCTTGGGCTCGTAGGTATGGTAGTAGGTGGGGTGGATGATTGCTTTTGACTGCAACTGTACAGGTGATTCAAATTACAGGAGAGAACAAGAGAACTCTTTCCAGTACCTTTGTGGCTGAATCATTTGCATGATTCAGAGATCACACACTTAGATATTACCCTCACTCCATTTTCATCTCCTTGATCTAACCCTCTCCCTCCCACCATCTGCCTCCATAATAATACATTCTTTTTGCCAGTGTTTCAACTCCCATTCTTTCAATATATCCAAGCCGCCTAGGCAGACCTTGATCAACTTTTTGTTCAACACTTGTCATTTCTTCATATCAATCTCAATTCTGTACTTCTTATTAACCGCATCCTACTCACCTGACGTAGTATTGCTCTCAAGCTTGTCTTTCCTGTTACTTAATTATTTGTCTTCATCCTCTTGCATCCAGAGTCCAAGCTTCTTGCCTAAATAGTCATGTCAGCTTAAGGATTCTTAGACTGTATACTTCCACAACTTTGCTTCCCTTGGTACAGTTCTCTCCCTCTCTGTGTTAAAGCACCTATTATTTTCTTCCCTCCACTACTTCCATTATTAAGTGTTCCTTTTGCTGACACATCTACTCCCACATATCTGAAATACAGTGCCACATTCCTCCATTCTAAATCCAATCATGCTGATCAGCCAACTCCCTTCAGAACTTATTTTCATCATGTTAGTTCACACACACACTGTTAATTTATATACAACTTTCAGACTCATTTACCAGGCACTAACTATATTCAGTGTATTGTTTTAATAGTTAGCTTTTTTCTACATTACTTTGTTACCATAGTTAATGTCAGTCTTCGTGTTCTGTGTGAATATTGTTTCTTCATCAAGATGTTAGTTCTAAAAAATTCCTCTGTAAAACCATCTGATACTTAGGTTTGTAGTTGCTGGAGGTTAAGAAAATTTTTGTGGTTGGAAAAGACCTTTTCCAAGTCAAAAATGTAGCCTGTCATTACTGAAGCAACTAAATCATGACTATTCTCTAGGGGAGTAGAGGGTGTGACTAAGTAAAAACTGAATATTCTTTTTTTCATAAATGCTTGAAGTTGTCAAAAGGGCCTTGCTTGAGTATTTCAGCAGTTTCATTAAGGCTGCCTTATATTGTTGAGAAAACTGTCTTTTTTGTCATATATATTTTGTCTTGACTATTTTGCAATGCTGTATTGATGACATTTATAGTTACAGTAATTTATTCTTATTTCTTTGTACACTGTTGTTGAAGAAATCTTTATTAGTTGTAATAGTGATTTTGTTTTCTCCCTGTGCCAGACCTATGATGCCCCAGAGTGACTATATGATGGCTGGCCAACATCCCCCCAACTATTATCCTGGTTACCAGATGACCCACCCTGGCCAGATGCCTCCATTGAGCCAAGTGAACACTCAACAACCCCAGATGGGTAGCAGCACAGGCCATGGCTTCATGCTTCACAGCCAAACACAGTCCCTACCTCCTCAAGCTATGTACCAGAATGGCCAAGGATTTTATAGTCCTGAGCATCAGTTCAGAGGGTATCCTCCCAATGCACAAACATATGGTCCCAGTAAGTTTATTATTTTTTTGCGTGCGTGCGTGCGTGCGTGCGTGCGTGCGTGCGTGCGTGCGTGCGTGCGTGTGTGTGTGTGAGACAAAATGTAAACACACAGAAAGACACATAGACTAACACTTATACATTTCTTAGATAAACCTGCTGAAGATTGTGATAAGATATATAGGATTAAACATATAGACTTAATTGATTCATTTACTATCATTCATCTCAGGTGACCAACAAAGACAAATGGGCCAGACACCACCCTTCAGATTACACGGGGAAGGCACAGGTGGAGATGGTTGGGGCCCTGGTGGGGATGGTCGGGGCCCTGGTGGGGATGGTCGGGGCCCTGGTGGGGATGGTCGGGGCCCTGGTGTGGATGGTCGGGGCCCTGGTGTGGATGGTCGGGGCCCTGGTGTGGATGGTCGGGGCCCTGGTGGGGATGGTCGGGGTCCAGGAAGCCTCAGGTCCAGTGCTCAATCTTCTCCAAGCAGACAACCTCCACAACGTCAACAGAATTCTCCCAGTCCCACTAGGCAGGTGTCTGTTTCTCATGCCCCAGTTGCTGCCCCACCACCTGATGACATGGAGCCACAAAATGTTTCATTCATTAATTCTACAGATGGACAACATGGCGAAAATCAGAGGGATGACACTAGTGATAAATTAAAAAGGTTATCCATCACTTCGGGTAGTAAAACGTATCGAATTTCCCATGAACCAGGCTCACCAACTAGACCTTCTTTAGGAGTGAAAACTTTCAGAGTCCCAACTAAGAAGGGCACCCCAGTTTATGATGATGTAGACCTACCCCAGCCTGCCCCACCACAGAGGTCTCGGACTCCACCGTACCACCAGGATTTCGGTGGACACGATTATGATGAAGATGAGTTGGATATTAAGGCAGAACCTCTTCAAGAGGGTCCAAAAGTTGATAAAGGGTTTTACATATCTTTTGAAAGTGATATTGTCCCAAGAAAACCTAAACCCCAATTACGTACTAAGAAAATGTCTCGAAAAAATTCCAGTCCCTCAACTCCAGCAACGACACCCAGCAGAGAAGATCTTCCTGTTGTACCTGTAAGTATTGAACATATTTTAGGATTTTGTGTTTTCTTTTTACTAAACCTGTTATGACAAAATGTTGAAGGCCTTTCAAGTCTGCTTTACTGATCTTCATCACCTGCTGTAAACACATACGATTCATGCTTATTGAATGTTGTGTTGTAGATTTTTTATTAAGTTATTGCTCAGTGTTGTATTGCATATGTCACTAATTCCTAAGGCTTCACTTTTTTGCATATGTGTAACACCTAACTTAATTTTTTATGCATTATGCATGTGTGTGTGGCCATTCAGGACCGACCCAGTCGGATCTCCTATGGTTCGTTTGATGCTCAGCGTGGCAGCATGACCCAAGCCCATAGCCCCAGCATGGCCCAATCACCTTTTACTATCAGTAGTCTACAGTCAAGTTCAAAGAGTGGCTGTCCTTCACCCCAAACAAATGGGCTCTCCTATAACTCTCCTTCGGAGACTGAACGGGAGGAGGAGCATGAACCTCATCCCGAGGTGCCTTTAGAAAAAATGGCACCCTTTACTAGTAAGAAGCGACTAACAGAATCCACTTCTGGCATGGCCATTGTCATTGGGGATGACGTAACCAACAATAAGAATGTGAGTATTATCGTATAGCACCAATTTTGTATAGAAATTTAACACTATTGTGGAGAAATAAATATTATCTTTGTTTAGTTAATATCTATACATTGAACTAATTTACAATGAAAATATTTACCTACCTTTTAGTTAAAGCTTTTTTAGACTTTTATTTTTGGGAGTCTTGCAGAATGGAACACAGGTATGCTGTCATAAGAATGGACCTTTTTCCTCATATATCATAGGGGTTTTGTTTTTGTCTACTGGGTCAGCCTAGTTTAGCGTCTTCAATTAATTAAATATATTATGCAATGTTTATGGGTTAATTTAATGTTTACATAGAAAGACACATTATACATACTTTTGCTGTGATGACCCTTGCCACCATGACGAGGTTAAAGAAGTGCATCGTAACGAGGGTTAACACTACATGATCATGTTGATTTAATAGTTCAATAGTATATAGGGTTGTGTCCCTAAAATGGGTAGTGTTTACTAAACTAACGAGCTTTATCCTTCAAAATATTAAAATTTATTGCAGTTATAATGACTTTTTCCATCAAATAATGGAAGTTATGAGAGATACATTTTGGGCTCCACTTGTCACCATCCACTAAAGGAAGTTTTATCCCCTCAAAACAGTACTAAAGTTACTAAGTGGGATCTCTTGGACAGTGAAATTCATAACTTAAAATAAAATGCTTTCTGGGTAAAAAAAGACACGTCGGTGTTATATACTGTGGCCATGTTGAGGAGTCAACTGATTGCCTGGGCAAGTGGTGGTCAGAGTTACCACACCAAATTATCAGAAAAATATCTATTTCAAACAATTGCCTCAATAATAATCATGATACAGATGAATTAATGAAAATATTATGTAATTTTTTGTTGTTAATGATGAACTGTCCCCAAAGGAAGTGATAGGTCTTCAGGTGAATAAAAAATATATGAACTACAGGATTTGTGTCTGCCACTATCACTTTAACTTACTGATACATCTTTCCTAATCAGGATTTACTGTACAGTACAGCACAGCACTGTTAGTGTATCGCACATCAGGTTAATTCTTATTGTGTAGACAATCCTCCACCATGCATGAACAGTCAACAAAATAAATTTCTGCAGCTTTACAGTGTTATACAATATGACACAAGACCAAGAATTCTGAACAACATGGGTTTTATATGTATTCGTGTTAATTTCTCTGTATTAACTATACGTGATATATGGAATACATTGTATTGGTTACACAATGCATAACACAATCAGAAATACCAACTTTACCAGGTGAAATATTTTGTTGTTGACTGTATCTTGTGCTAATAAGTTATGTGAACTTTAGTGATGGTCAGTGATAGTGTTTGTTGACTCAGTGTGGGGTGAGGTTAGCTTTAGCTTTAAAGATGATGAACTCTTTTGGTACTTGTATTTATGCTCTAATCCTTCTATATAGTACTGTACATAGTAAATTGCATTTATTATCAGTAGAATTTTTGGTTTTGAAATGTGTTGAGTGTGGTGAGATCTATCTGATATAAATTACAGGCTGTCCCTGACTTACAACAGGGTTAGGGACCCAATTCCAGGTCGTAAGTCGAAAATGCAAAAAAAATACATAGAAAATCTAAAATGGGTGTCTCTTTTTCTTCTCAGCACCACAAAACTCTCACTTTTAAGCTTGCCAGCCATTTTAAATGGAATTACAAACGAAAATTTTGTCAGTACACAGCACAATCACTAACGTCGGGACTCAAAAATACGTAATTTGAAAAAATTTTGGTATGTCTGGGGCGGCCGTATGTCTGGGTGGTCGTGAGTCGAGTAGGTCGCAAGTCGAGGAGTGGCTGTAATTCTTTGGTTTGTTTGCAAACTTTAAGGTAAAAAATATCATTAACAATTAATTTTTGTACAGAGCATCAATTGGCATAGACAAAGGCAACAGTGGTGCTAACTTTTGTCCTATAGTGACCCTGTGGCAGTTTTTAGTCAGAATAGAAATTTAAATCTGGTCAGCCAGTAGTTTCTCCTCACTTTAAAGGCATTGGAGTGTGTGAACTTAAGGTTGGTGGTCATCCTTCCCATTTTAAGTTTTATTTTTGGTTGCCCAGGTTTCAGGGGCTTTTAGAGTAATCATGTAGTGGTTCTAGGGCAGTCAGATTTTGACATCTTTGAGGATTTTGTGGATGACATGCATTGCTAGCAGTCCATTTGGGGATTGTTTCTATCTTCACTTTTTCTTGTATGGAAAGGTTCAAAGGTTGATCAAGTTATTCTTGACCAGAGGTGGACGAACTGATTCTTGGAGTTAGATTTATGATGTCTACAACTCGCTTGATGAACAGGAACTTGAAGAAGGACTTGTGATCCTCTTCATTTGACTTAGAGGAAGCCTGATTAATGAGTTGGTTTTGCTGTTGTGTAACCAGGTTTTGATCAACTCCAAATATACCAAAAGTGCACACAAGTCTAATCAAAGGCAAAACCTGCAGAAAACTCATGAAATACTAAATTTTTGTCATCACAGTAAATTAAGAAATATGACAGCAAATAAAATACAAAAAATAATTACTCGCCTCTAATGAAATGAGCTGCAGACATAAGTGTACCTGAAAGTAGGCTCCCCTGCCACCCTGCCTGTTATAAATGTCTTGAAGATTTTATCCAAAGCTGGTATTTTTTCTTCTCTTTGGTATTTTGAAAAACTTATTAGGCTACCCTTGGCAACAAAGGTTACTACTACCACAAGCAAAGCAATTGTTGTAGCATGCTTGCTCAGGAAGCAGAGTGTAACCTACACCATAGCACAGAATGCAAATGTGATATTGCGTTTGTTTGTTTCCCCTGTTGTGGTGGCCTGCCCAGATGTGTATGTAGTGCATTGTCATGGTGGCTGTTACAGTATAGTGATGGGCATCAACACCAGTCACTAAGTCTTACTTTATACACTAAACAACATCATTTGCAAAATGAGAAGCTTATGGTTTGTTTTAGCTATTGAATGTCTTGCATGGATGTTGTCTCTCTTATTGAAGATCAAATTATATCATCTTTTTCATTTCATTGAGGCTGATTTATCTATATTTTCTAGAATAGAGTAAAAATTTTTGAACATTCAGAATGTTAACAAATTTCTCTTCTTATAGAATGGAAGTTCTTCATATCCAGTATTATATGCAGTATATATACTACTGTACTTGTATATACAGTACAGTACTGTAAATATTTTTTTTCTTTTCTTAACACGTTTATGGATTATTTAATAAGTTAATCTTACTTTATTATTAATTATGCTTGAGTTGTCAATTGGAATTTACATTGTAATTATTAATCTTCTGTAGTTGACTGGTAATTCACTGTACACTGTTCTCAGAGAATTATATCACACACTGTAACTAGGGATGTAATGTTCAGTCCACATGAGGTGCTCAACATTGATCACTCAAGTCTGGTTGTCCAGGATATCGACAGTATTGTATAGCCATTTATCTATGGCGTTTACCCGCCGCCACCCATAAAGTATTTTCCTTCAGTTTTTAAAATGTAAGTTATTTACTGCTTTTCATCACATAAATTTAAGCATCTCTTGATTCCTTCTGATATGGATGAATATAGATGGATACAACTGCTCAAGAAGAGGTGAGATTTTTCCATCGTGATGCAAATTTCTTGTAGTGTACAGTACTGTATTTGGTCTTCGTTACTACTTGTTATCAGTGTGGGAATGGTGAAAGTATTATTGGAATGGAGTCCTACAAAGATGTGCCATTATAAAGATTGTTGGGTGGTTTTTCTTTTTGATAAGCATTAAATATCAGATTGGAAAGTCGGTGATACAAATTTAAAGTTTAACGTCTAAGATGTTTATGAGCTTGTGTTAGAATTTGTAAGTTCTAATGGTTCCTTCCCAGTTAGAGGAGAACTACAGTACCTTACTGCTAGTGTTTGTGGCAGGAACCATGGTAGGTAGAGGATGTTCTACAAGAGTAGTTACACTTTATAGTAGACAAGATATTCTAATAAAAGATGAGTTAATAGTACAGTACAATAATCTTGAAATCCAACTTGGCTATGTACAATACTTTCATATGCTACCCAAACTTAATGGTAAAAAAAATTACACTCTAACCTGGCAATAAATGAAATTCCATAAAGGAAGTTTAGCAATGTAAAATGAGGTTAATTAATTTTTTCCTGTATTCATTGGCATAATTTGCTTTGTTTTACCTTACAGAATTACCTTTATTAGAATACAGTATTTGTTGGAACTCATTACAATACTTCAAACAAGATACAGTATAGTGTCCTTCTCTCAGCAACATCCTGTTAGTTTTCATGATGAGTGTCAATACTTATGTGTATCTGTGGGTTAAGAAAGTTAAGTTTACTTAGAAAGGAATTTAAAAGTTAGGTTTACTTAAAATGGAATTTTTGAAAGTTAATTTTTCATTACATTACTGTATACAGTATTTATGTACTTACTACTTGTTACTTACAATATATGGATTTCATTTGTCATTTATATATTCTACAGTATTGTAATTTTTTTATTATTAAGCAACACTATTAAAAAGATAATGTACCTTTTATCTCATGCTTCTGTTAAGTGTATGATACACCTGCAAGAATGTTCTTTAATTATTTTGTGAATTGATTGTGCAGAAAATTATCATTATGTTAAAGAGGATATTTAACTGATGTAAAACCACCTACCTACCTACCCCAGTCGACTGCATCAGAGATGGAGAAGAAGAAGGAACGCCTCATGATGATGTCCATGAAGCGGAAACAGGAACAGGAGGAGGCAAGATTAAAGAAAGAGATGGAGGCCCAAGAGAAACGAGAAGCAGAAAAATTTAAAGAGGAAGAGAAATTACGAAAGAAGGAGGAAGAAAAAGCAAGAAGGCAAATTATTCTAGACAGATATAAAGTCAAGAAGGCCATGGAGGAAGCAGAGAAAGAGGTACCAACGAATTTATAATATTAAACAAACTGTAATATCCATGAGCTCCAAGAACACCCTCCCAATAACCCGAATGAATACAGAGAGATGTTAGTGTTTTGGGAAGTCACCCTTGCATTGTGTGTAGATCATGTTGCTGTGTTAAATTTTTTATTTCCAATTAAGATACAGTATATTGGGATTTATCAGTGATGTCGTCCGTTTGTTTGTTTATCAGTCGATGTCAAATTTGGTTCTTCTGTCTCCTTAGACTTGTTAATTTGAGTATAAGTGTGAAAGTGCATTAGGACAGATTTTTAATTGTTTGGGTGAGTGTAGTGTTAAATGCAAATATTATTCAGGTTACAGCAATTTAAAATGGTTCTTGTATGTTCATATTTTGATGACTGTGTGCATGTGTGTGTATGATAGACCTCTTTCAAGTGAGGGGACAAAGTATGGAGTGACAAGGCTTGTTGATCTCTTGTTATTAATAATCATAAAAGTGAGTTGATGTGTTGGAAATTTAAATTTGTAATTTCACTTGGTGTTTCAACTCCAGTACAGGTACAGGTAGTTCTGCTATAACGCGATAATTGTGTTCTTGTAAAATATCGTGTTATAGAAAATCGCGTAATAGAAATAACAGGGCTTATGGAGAAAATAGGGTTAGGTGCAGTTTACTCGAAATCGAAAAAATTTAGTAGTTAGCCTAACACAAAGGATAGCACAGTCTAAATAAATGTTACATTCATATCTAATAATGAAATCATACAGTAAATTTAACACTTTACCTTGAAAAAATATGAATGTAACTTGATGGGGGAGAAGGGTGATTTTGAGGTCGATAACATCAAGCTTCTCTTCAAGTGTTATATCCTTTCTTTTACGATAATCACCGGGAATTCTATCATCAGAATGCTTTTTGGAGATATTCTTCTTTACCATATTCACAGTTAATACCACAAAATTGGAGAAATAGTAAGCAAAAATCGCGTTATAGCAAACAAGCGATCGCGTTATACAAATATTGTTCCGAATTCATAAATCGCGTTAGAGCAAATTCGCGTTATCAAAACACGCGTTATAGCAGAACTCACTGTACTGCCTTTTTAATATCATCAAAGAGTACTTATGACTAAAAGCAAGATCATTGGGAGATGACGAGAAGAAATAATATGAACCGGCTCATAATTCATAAAGAAGATGGCTGATGTAAACAACTCAGAAGTTAGCACTAGATTTTTTATAAGAAATTATTGTATGTTTGATATGTTAAAAATTCATTATCAAAGATTAATGTATGATACAGGTAGGCATTTCACAAAGTGCCATCCTTGTGCCTTACTCTTGGAGAAACATTTACCTGTTTATCTAAAGAGACGGTGACTAATAATAATGGACAAGAATCTTGACTCATTTTACACTTCAGAAATAATGACTTCACACCCATTTTTCTGTCCTCTGACTCAATTTGGCTAGACTGCAATACCTGTCTCTGTCTCGACATGTTACCGTTGTTATAGAGAGTACAAGTAAATTTTGTATATGTATATAAACTCTTGCTTCAAGCAATGACTACCTGTTAATATATAATGGTGAATTCAGATTTATGCTGCTCTTGATAAATATTTACCCTCCACAAACCTATCTCATCCTGTTAGGTCTTCACATTGTGTGGCTGTTAGCATGCTGTAATACAAGCATGCATATCTTGGCGTTTACTAACTAGCTTTTGTGTTTAGTTTTGAGTAACCTTCACCCGTGTTGAAATGTGTGTGCTGAATGTAATGGGCATGACATAACTTTATTTAAAGAGTTGACTGAAGAAATCGATATATAAACATTATAAACTCCTCCACTCTTTACATTACAAATGTTGATGACACTTTGTAGTGTGTCTACAGCTTCTCATGTAATGCAGCCCTATATATCGACTGAAATATAACCAAGTTAATTATCATGTCAGTCAAGAAACTGATTATCTGCATCTACAGTATTTTCCCTTTTATCTTCTTATACAGCTTTCTTTATATCCATAAAGAAGGAAGGGGTTGTACCTCTCTGCTCCAGCTTTTTTGTGCCAAAATTAAAAAAAAAAAATCTAAATTATGTCTTTTACACTCATGTACTTGACTGTCTGGCCCACAGGACCCACTTTCACTTGGTCTTTAGTGACTTTTACCTGAGTAATACACAATTATAATGACTGCGACACTACTTATCTGCCCAACATGATGGCTATTAGACAATATGTTTACCTCCCCACCATGGTGGTTTGAAGACTGTATGTTTAACTCCCCACCATTTAACTTGCCAACATGATAACTACAAGATTATTTAACTCACCAACGTGATAACTAGAAGACTATTTAATTCGCCAACATGATAACAACACGACTTTATATGCTTATCTCTCCAACATGGCAACTGGTTAGTGTATCTGAAATTTATAATGAGTGCTGGGAGGGTGTCTTTGTTGGTCTGTTAGTTTAATTGTGTATGTTTGTACTGTATTTATATATTATATTCACGTACATTTGCCAGTTACAGTTTCTTGTGGCATGTAATGTGTGTATTCCTTGCTAGAATATGTTATGTTCTTGGAGCTCAAAGTTAGTGACTTAATTTGATATATGTATCTTGTTATTAGTCAGTTATGTAGCTTTTGTTTATTGTAAAACTGGGTTGTACAGTAAAAGCCTCCCCATAATTTGCACCCGTCTAATTCAAAATCACTCGTAATTCGTAATGTTTTGTTCTTACAATATATATATATATATATATATATATATATATATATATATATATATATATATATATATATATATATATATATATATATATATATATATATATATATATATATATATATATATATATATATATATATATATATATATATATATATATATAATTTTTTTTTTCGTAACAACAAAACATTACGAATTTAATTAGACGGGTGCAAATTATGGGGGGTTTACTGCAATAAGATTTTGCACAGTTGAGGCTAAAGATTATATTTATAGATTTTATTTTGCATCTAAACTTAAGACTAAGTGTAAAATATTTAATTGAATGCTTCAGTTGCATTGCAAGTTCCATTAAGATTTCATATGCAGTGAATTGTCACAGGATATTTAATTTTGTTTGCATGATAAATTGGCTTTGATCACCTTTCTTAGCATGTTGTGTATTAATGTTTTGAGAATTCAGTATTTGTCATATCTTAAACAAAATTTAGTGTAATTTCATTTATGTAGTTCTCGAAACAGTAAGTTTTGTCGAGTCTCTCGCACAGATATTCCCTATCCATAGGGTCGGTACTATGAACCTCCACCCGGGATGAGTCCGGACCCCCCTAGTTCTTCACATGGAAAAGCATCAGTTCGCTTAAGAAGTAAGCCACCTGGGGGCAGTAGACCGCGGCCCAAGACTATGGCTGGATCATCAGTGTCAGATGCCACAGATGGGGAACTAACACCTAGTCGAGGCAAAAAAGGGAGCTCACAGAACATTGCTGGTGGTAAGTTGCCTTACTGTGTGAGATGTATGTATCCTTGAAGCATTATTTTGTTACATCTTGTCTTGATGCCATGTTAAAGAAAGTTGGGGTAAGTGTAAAAATAGAGATGTCCTTAGTGGCACACTCTAGCATGCATGCATGTTTGTTTAACAGTAATTATTGTGACCTATTCAATTTTCTCTAATCTAGTAAAACTAATTGGAGCATTTTACATTGTATATTAAAAACAATGAATAATTGTACACTGAGCTAAATATGCAAGCATCATGACACGACACAATTTATAGCAGTGTCAATCTGCTTGAGCTTAACGGGCACTATTGAATACAATGCTTGCGCAGCTTCTCAAGCCCACCATCAATTGAAATGCACCATCCAAACTATCCTCTTTGATTTCTTAACATGAATGACTTAGTCTGTATCTCTTAAATCAAGCATTAAGAAAGGCAAAGATTTTAGCATGGCTAGCAGTGTGCACCTGCACATTTGCTTATGTGTGGTGTTGTGTGTGGTGTTGTAGAGGTTGGGAGGAGAGGCGAAGGCGGCGGATCTGGCAGCATGAGGAAGAGCAGCGGGCGATGGGGGTCGTCACAATCGCTCTCACGTGCAGCTGGCTCTCGCGGATCCAGTGGCAGCCTAGCCGGAGGTAATCGTCCCCCCGAGTAAATGCAGTATACTGTATCAAGGTTAATCCAGATAGTCTCTTTAATAATAGTGTAATTTATTTTAATTTTATTATTTTGAGTTTCACATATTTAAGTTTATTCTAATCATCAGTGATGATTATTTGCTGTACCCTCCTCATTTATAAATCGTTGAAACTGTTGCTGCTTGATATCTTCCTTGACCTGATTAGGTATCTAGCTTAAAACGTTTCCTGCTAAAGCTTATGCAATTTTTGCAGTTTTAGAACTGCTTTAAATAAGTGTTTAACCTGGAGTATAAGGTATTATACTGTAAGTCAGTGTTGCACAGTCAATACAGTTTGGTTTGGATTTTATGCCTTAGAACCCTAAGATGCTCAAAGCAGACTCATTAAAGTCGTATCTTTGTGTGTACACACATTGAGAGATGTGCACATGCATGTGCACACACATGGAAAGAGAAAGAGATTCACACACTTAAGAGAGAGACACGCACACTTAAAGAGAGACACGCACACACACACTCACTTAAAGAGAGAGAGACACACACACACTCACTTAAAGAGAGAGAGAGAGAGAGAGAGAGAGAGACACACACTTAAAGAGAGAGACACACACACACACACACTCACTTAGAGAGAGAGAGAGAGAGAGAGAGAGAGAGAGAGAGAGAGAGAGAGAGAGAGAGATGCACATGCACACACACAGAAATCTTAATGGCATGTTTAATTTGTTTCAAGTCAAATGATTACAAGGACAAAATTCTGGTTGAGCATTTTTCCCAAGCACCTTTTTTTCTGTATTATTTGTACCTTTTTTGAATTGCCTCATGGCGTGTATACGCCTCTATCCCCACCCACTAGACTATCCCAGCACGACCCGCACCCTGGACCGCGGCCACACAGGCAGACGTCCCACCTCTGTTATTGGGTACTCCTCAATCGGCCGAGGGGATGGCAGGAAAGCTTCACGTAGGTTTCCACATATTGTTTGTGGCTTGCATGTGCTATACTTGCTATGGAGATTTTATTTACCTTTCTGATTGGAAGAAGCAGAGAATTTTTATCATAGTATTTTACAAGATAATGTTATTGAGCCAACTATGCTTCCTCCAATCACTTCTCTTTAATGTTTCTATTGATTTATAGCTTAAATTTCAAGTTGAGAAAGTGAAATGTTGTAATATTTCTGCTACAAATGGTACCACCCCACATGCCACAGTTTATGGCTCCCAAAGTGATGGCCTCAATTATGGTGGGGGTTACCGTGTGCATGAGGCGCGGCGACCCAGTCTCGCCCTGGAAGGTGCTGGCTCTAGGCTGAGGCGAGGATCTGCCTCCTACAACAGTGGCAGTCCATCTGCAGGATACAGGAAGTACCGGTCAACTGGCAATCTGAGTGGTAAGCCCCACCCAAGAGGCGGGCATCAAGTGGCCTCCAAGTTATTGGTGGTGGTGGTGGCTAACTTGTTGAGCAATATTAGTGTAGATTCTACTTCACCATTTTCTAATCAATTCTGGTGGTGGATGTAAATATTTTATTGGTAACTGTCGTCATCCTATACTAACAGGCTATAATATGGGTAGTGACCAACAAAAGATTCACTGTAAGTAATAGTTGAATTGCATGTTTTGTTTTTTCCATGTTCATTATATGTATAATTTATATGAAGTAAAAATTCATTTAGAAGTAAAACACCTGTTGCATGACCCAAGAATAAAAAAATTATAAATGCAGTAGACCCCTGTTTATATGCGAGGTTATGTCCCAAAGGGGTCACACAATTGTGAAATCACACATATTGGTACAGTATATGAAAAAGTATGGCAGAATAATAGGGTTAGGTGCCTGGCATTGCTAAGACAATCATTTTGGAAATGCTTAACCCCTTATATTATATTACAGCTCACATTGTGCTGTACACAAATATTATTTCTTATTGAGTCCTGCATAATTTTTTTTTTTTTTTTTTTTTTACACGGGATTAACCCACCCGGGCACAGGTCACTGACCCACAGCAGGGCCTGGGGGGCAAAAATTTTATAGTAATAATAATAATAATAATAATAATAATAATAATCCATAGTAAATAAATTTTATAATAAAAATACAAAAATTCAAAATAAAATAATAATAACAACACTGTAATAATAAAGAACCATAGAGAAATACACCAAAAAAATCAATACCCGGTAGTGAGAAACATTACAGATTATGAATATTGTGTTGTCAAAGTAAGAGAAACAATTGAGACCCTGCAATTGTGTGTAAATGAGGCAGAAAGTCAGATAAGCAACCTGGGACTTGGTCACAATTTTGTGATGCCATATGGCAACAAGGTCTACCATTAGACAACACATTAAGCTTCCAATATCTTCCCAGGTAGTAGTACCTCCCTGTTTGATAGCTGCCTTTATTTTTTAAGATGGCTGATCTTCTATGCTTCTTTTCTCTCATTTCATAGAGGTGAAGTTTGTAATTAATATTCAGTGATTAATAAATAGGTAAATTTCACACCTAAGCAATCCCAGTGGTGTTAGCATGAACAAGTGTAGCACCTGTCACTCAAAATTATTCCAGTCATGTGAACACACTTCTTAAAATTGTGGGTATATCCACTGCCACTAGTGCTAGATAAAAATAAAAAATGCCTATACAAGTACCCATGTGACACCACCTTAAGGCGAACTGACTGTATATGTGTGTAACCTACCGCCTAGGTGCTTTCGACCATCATCTTTCTGAAAAATCACTTTCCAAAACAAAATTAAAATTAACAGTATACATTTACACAGTGCTTAATTTTATTATAGCAGGTGAATCTTGGAGTGGAGGACGATGGGGGGCTGCTTACACTTAGAATACATGTACTATATTCACATTTATATTTGATAACACTTTATATCTAGTATGCACTTAAATCTATCTGATATCATAAAAAAGTTCTCTGCTTCAGCTCAAATTCCTCACAGACAACGTTCATGGAGACCCCAGTATCAATTCTGTTCCATAACTTCAATTTTCTGAGTTCTGAACTTCTGACCACCATTCCTTTTCTACCAGTGGTCCACAGTGGTGTTGTTTTGTTTTTGCTTGCTTTAGAAGTCATAATAATACACTAGGGAAGCACTAAATATGGACCAAACACAGAGTGCGCTGGAACATTGGTCGTGACAACAAACATGTGGGAATTGATACCTTGCCCAACTCCCACCCCTCACGACTCCCATTAGCTGGAGCTCGTCTGGTTTATGCAGGTTTCTGAATTACATAAGTCCAACATAGATGGGTCTTACCGTATATCAGTTAGGGTACATTGATGCGTGCATGATGGCAGTCTCAGCCGCCCAACTGAGACTTACAGGAAAAAGTCCTTTGTTTGTTGTGTTTGTCAGAAACTTCACTGTAAAGAACACATATATACAAGGGTTTACTGTATTGATTCTTTATAATACAGTACCTGTATTTCACCCCATTAAGAAAATTATTACTATGTTCAAAATCAATAGTTCATAGGTCCATTCTGTTGATTATACTGTATTCAGTTTATTTTAATTTGTATGCATTAGAGCTTATTACTAACCCTCTCATTGCATATGACTAAGGAAACACGGAAGGAAGCAATTTATTTATGTGTGGCCAAAAGTGATGACAATACAGAAATGAAGTATTTGGCTCTGGCCCTGAAGAAATTTTTAATCTACTATTTGATGGAAATACATTTTTTTTTCCAAGGTTCTAACAAAGCATACCATTCGTCTGTAATATACACTACATTGTACCCACTAGTAGCAATTGGCTCTCGTGAATAAAGCTATCCTTGGCTGCCACGGCTGCTAATCGATGTGCATGCGTGTTCATGTTCGTGTTCTAGGTTTTTAAAATCTACTCGTCTCCTTGTTTTCATCAGAACTTCAAATGACTTGGTACAAATACTGTACAGTACAGGTTAAATGGGTAAAATTCAAGAACATAAGGATAGAGGTCAAGCTAGTTTCCAAATTTATCCAGTTTTTGCACAACAAAATAATTATCTTTGCCCATTGCACCCAGCTTGTAAACATATGCAGTATAATGCATAAAATATATTTACATTACAGGTCATGATATTATGAAGCCCATGACTTACTTAAATAACGGTGAAAACAATAGAAAAATTGTTTATGCATGTGAATAAATTACTACATAGTAGGTCTGGGTAGGCATAAGTTGAGGATTGACACACTTTGTTTGTGTGATGGGATTGACTCAGGCACCAGGAGATGGCAGCACCTACTGGTTACTTGCAGCCATTTTAAGAGTTGGTAAACTTGAAATATATACCAATTTAACATCACAATGAGGGCATTGATGAATCACGGTCTAGAGGTCAAGCAGGGCGAGGGGAATCCGAGGCAGACCTATAATAAACTACAGTATATAAAGATAAAGGAATGAATACTGTTATATGATATGTTTGACTAAAAAAATTAAATACCATCTAAAGATAAGAGCAAAAGAAGTCATACAATTCATCCTTTATTTTAATTAACTTTACTGGTATCTTCCATAGTGGTGCTTAGGTGTTGCAGGGTTGGGGTCACAAAGGATGTGCATCTTCCATGGTGACACAGTCAGTACTGAGGATCTGAGGAACTAGCCAGTTTATAAATGGAGTGACCAGTACACATGACAGCAGCCATTATCTGTAGATAAATCAAACTGTGGTGCAAAAATCTGTGCCATGATAGTAGCTGGTAGCAATGGCAGGATTAAAACATTACCACAAAAGAAGAATGCAATGAGATCTTTTAGATTTATTCACTAGTCAGTTAAGTATATACAGTACCTTCTAATTGAGATAAGTGTATAGAGAGGCTTGGCAAGCAAGTGGTGGGTGAAGCAAAGAATGCCAATTGTTGAAATTTACCTCTGCCTGAGACACATGCATAAGGAAAATAGGACAAAGATTGCACAGCTCTTCTTTCTAAGCTAAACATTTTTTTATGGTGTTAAGCAATTGGGATTCATATGAAAGAAGTTACCCTAAGACCAGATATTTCTCAAAATACATTTAATGATAAGACTTGTGAGACTGGCAATACCATGAGTTGGTCATGAAGTATCAGCTGGCCACCCCATGGTGACCAGCTTCATGCATTAAATTTTTTTTTACAGTAAACATAATTTTGCTTAGGTAAGCTTCAACACCTTAGTATCCTATGTTTGGTTTGATCTGTTGTCATTGCACTGTAGATGAAACATTGAGTAAATTTCAGCAGTGACATTCCCTCAAAGCTGCCAATACCATAGCTTCATGCCTCATACAGTAAGGCATTTTTCAGTAAACATAAATTTGCTTAGGTAAACTTCAACACCTTAGATAAGCTATAATGTTGGGGTTGATATGCTGTCATTACACTGTATATAAAACATAAGTAAACTTTGGCAGTGACATTCTCTCTAGCCTGCCAGTACTGTACCACTGCTTCTTGCCTCATGTATTTTAGTTATTTTTATAGTAAACATAATTTTACTTGGGTAAGCTTCAACACCTTAGGTTTCCTGTAATGTTAGGTTTGAGCTACAGTACGGTTATTGCTCTGTAGATAAAACGTAAGTAAATTTAGGCAAAGACGCTCTCAAACCAACGACATCCTACGATCACTGGTAAGTTCAAGTACAGATTTTTATATACTACAGTATAAACCTGTATACCCAGTACAGTGCAGTATACATTGTTTGTTTTAGTTCTACATTATTTATATACACTATACAATATAGTAACTCTTTACTATCATTTATTTTCTTGTTGATTTAATTTGTCTTTGATTTGTTCTTACTTCACAATTGGGTTGGTCTCTAGCTCCATTCTCCCCATAAGATTTAAATACTGTATTGACAATTACTACTCTTCACTACTTATACAGTATATATATATATATATATATATATATATATATATATATATATATATATAATCATGCTTATTTATTCTGTGTACATGTTTTGGAGAACCACTCAACCTTCTCAACACAGAGCCTGCTGCAAACCGAGACTCAAAAGGAAAATGTACCTACAACACTTCAGGCAACATCACCTGAAGTCTAGGTGGAGTGAAGTCACAAAGGAGGGGGTGGGGTATATTTTCCCTTTGGGCCTCAGTTAGTTGAGAAGGGTGGATGATTTACCAAAACATGTACACAGAATAAACATGGTTCCGAGAAGAGTGGGTTTTCTTCAACATTCCTTGTTTGCCCGCAACCAGATTTTACTGTTATTTATTATAATGGAGGGGTGATATGCATACTAGGGTGGGTCGATTTTACCTTTTTTTCAATTTCCATATCCTAATAGAGACCAAAAGTGGTGCATGCATGAGAAAATAGCCTCTGCAAAATATTAGCTTAATAGGTAATCAT